ATGATCAAGCTCCGATCATCAGCACGATTATTAGTCGCTTGATTTTCGACATTACGAGATCGTTCTGTCCATGGTACGTCAGCATGAACTCGCGCGCTATTTTCCGAATCGCTCTGGAGTCGAAATGCTGACAACAGTATATTTTCTAATTCTTCTTCTGTCTTAACAGTTACTCTGAGAAGTCTGGGTTTGTCTTGATGATGCGATTTCGGCGCATTCATTGAGCTTCGCGTTGCAGCAGAGGGTGCAGAAATCTCTCGGTTTGCCTCTGCGAAAAACCAGCTAATGTTGCCTTCCGAATCCACAAATTCCTAGCTGTGAATTTCAGATTTTCATGCAGACTTTGGAATGGCAGTGTCTAAATATCAGTAGCTTGCTTGGGTCAACTGACTTTTGATCGAGTGATAGCTTATTCGTTCGCCAAGCCTGGCAACTCAACCGCGTACTGACGATATCTTCTCGCATGGTAGGGTAAATAAGCGAATATCCAAGTTGAACAAACGGATCAACAGCCGTATTTCGAACTGTTAGGTATCACCACTGGTTGCGGATACCACATGTATATGCATTACCGTTTGACCCTCAAGATATTTGGGTTTACTCATATTTAGCAGTACCATTTCGTGCTACGAGCAGACGGGATACACAGGAGGTGCGGTTGCTGCACACCCTTCACTTCACCTCGAGTTGGTTTATATTTCAGGTAGTGATGATTTCGCGCTGGTCACCCTATTGTGTACAAAAGTGCCGCGGTGATAATTCTAAACCGCTTGTAATTTACATAATTTTGTGTCCTTACACCAGCGCGTTTGTGTTCTATTAGGACCTCTCACCTTCTAACGGAAAATCACTCACCTGTGTCCACTAGGACCCAAGTTACCGTGACAAACTTGGTAGATTTCGCATTCGGTTACCTGGTTGACATCTTTATCAAAGCTATATTCCTGAGCGAATCTGATGCATTATTCACGAATGCGGCGGTGAGAATCGTGGGTCTGTAGAATTCACTTTCACATCACTCACGTTTGAACAGACCTTGCTCTGGGATAATTATTCTGATGAGTCCACATCAAAGTGGGGAAGCATCGGAGTCGCGCTTTGCTCTTATTAAAGCTCATCAGCAGTGCATATCCTTGGCCCTGCCGGGGTCTGAACTTCCGACATGCAACGTGTGATGCAAGCATGTTACCAATACTCCTTCAGCGCACGCCAGATGCAACTGAATTTTCACTTCCGAACAGGCGAATGTGTTCACGCTTGAGCGACTTGTTCAAATTTCGCGCATGAAAAAACTTGCGGTGTACCATTCGTTTCCAAATTGTGTATCAGGCTGGATTGTTACTGGAAAAAAACTTGAGGTAATTAATTTAGGCTTCATACTTCCACCGTTCTTTCTGGCATGGATTTTGTGCATTATGCGTCCTCGCAACTTCCCACCACAGCTCGTTTACCTAGCAATCGCTTAAAAAGTCTTTTACTGAGATTCTAGAGACACGGTAAGTCTTCTACAGCATATACTTTTGACGTGTCCCAAAGCTGAGCACGAGCAATGGGATCAGTCGGTATGTTCGCTAAGCTGTGTTGATTGTATGACGGCACACCGACCACGGCACCATGTGGATAAATTAAAAAACACACAATTAATAGGCTGTTGTAAGATTACAGATTTGCATGCGTCTCGTTTGCACAACTGTGTAATTCTCCTTTGAGAAGTCCCGCTCTCGTCCCGGTCCAGTCATTCTGGTGTATTCCCACCAAAGCGATTGGGGATCGAGTTTTGCTCTTGTTGGAGATCATCAGTGGTACGTATCCTCTGCAGCTCTAGACATTTGACGTATGAGCCGTGTGTGCTGCAACTATTAGTCGCAGCACGTTGGATGTGCTTGCATAATCACGCCTGAACGGTTGAATGTGTCTACGCATCGGCGATCTGAAGAAGAAATAGAAAAATGATAGTTCCTCAACCCAATTGACGGATATACAAACGGACATAGTAGTGTTTGGCGTTACAGCTGTGCACGTGGTCTGGAGTCTGGGTAGTATACTGTGCTCTCTTGAGTGTGCGAAAATATGCAAACCGCTCGTGCGGGGTCGAACAATTCAGGATGGCTACACTGAACGTTCTTACATCCGAATAAATGAAACACCTCTTAAGGTACTCGACCCAGACGATACCAGATCTAGTTGATTGTTGTGGCGAAGTGGAACCCAATACAATGACGCTAATTTATTTCCTATTTACAGCACAACTATTACCACTGCGAATCCTGCCAATAACATGAGGAAGCGTAACAGAAATGTTTTTTTAATTATTAGGGATTCTTTCGAACCTCTATGATGCCAATAACATGAGGAAGCGTAACAGAAATGTTTTTTTAATTATTAGGGATTCTTTCGATACCTCTATGAACAGCTAATAATCAGCAAGTTCTTCGACGCGAGTGGTTGATTCAACTCTGTTTCTACTTTGAGCAACCTATGGCTCGAGCTATCCGGTCAGGAACCGTCAAATGTGTTTCCTCAACCAACTCGTTGACTGTCTTCCCGATTAGTTTCCGGTCATACCTCACGATGTAGCCATTTTATCTACCTATACAACTGCCTCTTCATTTTCAACCATCTTCAATTGTCAGCTGAATGACTAGCTACCATCGGTTAATCTTGAATATCTTCCCACCGTAAACTTCTCTCCACCAGTGACAGATGGCCTCAGAATGAAAACACAATGACCTCCAATCATACTTGTCTCAGCGTCTGGAACAATGGAGAAGTGACAGCCTAATTATTCCCAATTATTTCGTCACAATATACTTTTTTGCTGCCCGATCTGTTGTAGATCAGTCTGCTAAGGATCATCTTACAGAGCTGCTGACATTTGAAATTAGTCGTCAAACTACTAACCGGTGGTGGATTCGTCTGTGTTCTTCGCCATGTTTTTCTCAATAGTTCAGTCAAAAGTTTGCGTTAATTACTTCTTTGGAGGAAGGCAATTTTTCAACGCCTTTGACCTATTCAAAATTCGCCACTTAATTGTTAACTGACAGTCCAAAAGCGTGGATTCTCGTAGATGTTCAAGGTGAATAGTTGCTATAACTTGAAGATTGGCACCCAGGATTGTACTGACAAATTTCATGTTACCTAATGTATCTTCTAGGACGACTTCGACTTCTGGCTACATAACAAGTGACCACTTGATTTTCCCTCTTCGTAGCCACAACCTCCCAACAAATATTCGTGCAAATAGACCCAGTGGAAGCTGATAGGACATTTAAAGTTACACATAGAGTAGGATATTATGACAAATCAGACCGGAATACTGAAATATCCCCTACTACAGCGTTTCCCAACATACTGATTAACCTTTGTTTTCGACTGTTGACAGTCCAAATGAATGGGTTCCACTCTTTTTAGGCGTAAAAATCAAGTGTGAGCTGATCCTTGCGTAGACGTCCATAGTGCTTTTTCTCCAGTAACGGTGAACACATAGTTCTTTTCTTTCAAAATATGCTTAACTTGACTGACGAGTCTTGGAAAACAGTACACTTTATGATGTTCATCCCTCTAGGGTAGCCGTCTTCTCACGGTTTAATCAGCTAACATTGTACAGCAGCGTTTGTGGAGTAATAGTCTCAGGTAACCGTCTCACTGTCTTTCACAAAAGTTCCACAGTGAACGAAATACACTGACCTGAAAGATGCATTTCTTCTCACGAGAGACTCAATTGAACTTTCAGATTCCTCTACTGAATTTGTTGTACAATGTCGACCTCGTGTTTCAGTTGGCACTGTATTCGAGATACGTAGTATAATTTTTCCCAACAAAATACAATACTCGATTTACTATCCAAGAAGAACATCGACTTGATGTAAACTCGAGTATCACACCTACCTGTTGTGCCACAATAAAGTTGAAACCGGCAGTGAATCATCGTGCAACTTTCAGTAAACACATGAGTAGTGTTGTGTTTTACTGTAATTACTGAAACAGCGGTACCAACTTTGCTCAACTTTGTCACACCGTGTTTGATACATAAAAACGGCGTCTTGTTCCACAATTATCGTCATCCCGATATATTCTTGTCCTCCAGTGCATAGAGTGTGACTACGCTTTTTAGCTTTATCAAAATCAGCTTGGCCTAACACGACCCAAAAACTTATTTTGAATTACGATCTTGATAACTTTTCTGTTCCGTAACTTCGCTTTTCCTCTCCGTGAGACCAACTTGGTTGCTATGTTGTTCACGTTGATTGGACCTCTCTTCCTTTATTGTTCAACTGTCAGAAGTGTTGCAAATGACTCACTCACTCGTTAAGATTTCCAATCGGTCATTAATTCTTGAAATAAAAGCAAATAAACAATGTTATTCGGATGGGAGTGTGTAGATCCGATTTCAAGTATCTCCAAAGTACAATCTGATAATGATGAATAGTCATTACGGGATTGACTTCACTAAGATTGATTTAGTTGTTGACTGGTGTAAGACAGTACTCTGTTCCGGTATTGAACAGTCCGATAGTGAGCCATTCAGATGATATATCGTTCTACTTTAAATCTTGTCATTATTGTTCGTAAACGTTTAATTGTTCGATTATCGTGAAAAAGGGTCACCGATCTTCGAGAAATACACTCATTTGCAAATCAATTTGGTTTTCACGGGGGACTCAATCGAATCCCTCGTTTATGATGTCCTCCAGCTGAATGTGCTGAATAGTTTCCTTTATGAAAATATACTGCGATATCTCGGATATAGTGCCAACTGAATCATAAGGCGGCCTGTGTGCAGCACATTCCACTGGAGGACATCATAAACGAAAGATTCGAGTGAGTCTCCCGTGAAAACCAAATTGATTTGCAAATGAGTGTATTTCTCGAAGATCGGTGACCCTTTTTCACGATAATCGAACAATTAAACGTTTACGAACAATAATGACAAGATTTAAAGTAGAACGATATATCATCTGAATGGCTCACTATCGGACTGTTCAATACCGGAACAGAGTACTGTCTTACACCAGTCAACAACTAAATCAATCTTAGTGAAGTCAATCCCGTAATGACTATTCATCATTATCAGATTGTACTTTGGAGATACTTGAAGTCGAAGAATTTTCATCAAACACGTGAGTAGTTTCCTTTATGAAAATATACTGCGAGGTCACTGATCTTGATGTGATGGACGGTTTTCCTGAAAGTAATATTTGGGCGAATTAGACACAAGGAGACTGTGGCCAGACTTGAATTTCGATTGCCACCGTGCGCTGACGGAGAAACAATACAGTACTACGTAAAAGTTGTGACTCTGTTAAGGTTAATTGCCACTCTCACCAAGCTCATTAAAAAACACATCCACACAGATATTTTTGCTGGAAATCCAATGGGAAAAATCCTTCTGCGTTTCCACTCATTACTTATGCCGTAACAGTGCTTATCTCAGGCTAGATATCAGTCAGCCAGGTCTCGTCTCAGGTTATAAAATCCGTTTTTATAGCTCCATCCTCACCGGACTGCTGTTATGAGACAACGACTTCCCCTCATTAACTCCCGACGATGCCGCGTCTACCGCAACACTGGTAAAATATTCCGTTGACAAAAGTGTCCAATTATTCCATCTGTTATGGTTTCTTTTCCTCTGTTGTGATCAAAACAGTAAGAGGATGCAGACTGAAAGCCGTTGACATTTTAATATCCTTTGTAGATCCTAAACACAAAAATCCTACATCTGTACACAATTCGCACAAAACAGAGTTGAAAAATAACAAAATATACGTCATCTTTGAAGAACTGCTCAAGAGTCAGTTTTATGCTTGGTGAAAATATCGGCTCAACAAATTATTTTGCACAAACTGTTTCTCGCACCATTATGAGCAATACTTCAATGAACGCGAGGAGTTTCGGATTTCAAGGACACAGCAAGACTTGTACAAATCCAACCGTTCTACGTGCCTCAGTGAACGGCCCCATTTCGGAATTACCGCTTGTGCTGCTGCCCTGTCAGACTACCATTTCTGTTGAATATTTTCAAAGATCATAAGTAAAAGAGTTTAATTATTTCTCCCTATGTAGATATCACTTATAAATAATGGTTGCGATATGGTAATCCGAGGAAATTCCGGAACCAATTTAGAACGTAATCCCTTATGCCGCCGGAACTGGGCATGGTATATGCAAATTAGGGCAAACTTAATTTTCTGTTTGAAACCGTTCGAAGTTTAGTCTCCTTTGAATGTAGACACCTTATAATTGCCTTTTTAAGAGCATCTTTACGTTAATACTAGGTGGGTGCACTCAACGTGTATGGTGATACTTTCTGCCAAATACCCGTCGAGTAACGAGTAAATTTCCTTTTTCTTTTTGACAAGTGGTCTGTCATACAAATCCTTATAGCTTTGTGTTCGGTTTCATTCAGAAGTTGAAGGAAAACGAATGAACAGAATTCTAACGTAGGCGGTGACCTTCAGCTAACCTAGATAACAAACAAAATACAGTCCTGTGCTTTTTTCGAGCAGAATAACACGGTGAGCAATAAAACAAACGAGAGGCTTTTCCCACTGAGATACAATGACTGAGGTGATCAGATAAATTTTTCCCGCACATTGTTTTCAATGTACCGTACTCAGTCAAAAGTTTTCTCTTGTAATAATCGAGTGGCTTGCTCATACCAAAAGCTGACAACCAATAGCTTACTGATTTCGAGTGGGTTGGGTTAAGTGAATTTGGAAGTGCACAGTTCAAGTACCCGCGGGGTGATCCAAGTAACAAATTCAGAGAAGTGCGGAATCGCGATCCTACTTGCCGAATGCGTGTTCTGTATGGTGAGATGATTAGCATCTTTGAATATTTGAGTGATCTGAACATCCGCTCTGTAGTAGAGGTCGTATAAATGTCTCATAAATGCCCATAGTAGTCTATCGCTGGCAGCCTACCGGGTTA